ATAGCTGTTGTATACTGGGAGGCGCAGCCGCCTCCACCCACACTTGTGCTGATGGAGAAGCCCAGGCTAGAAGAGGAAATAATGTGGAGAGAGAGCGCCACCCAGTGTCATAAAGAAAGAAACCGCGTAGCCAAAAAGCCCGCTGTGTACTCCAAGGCAAGTGTAACTGATTGATCACCCATTCCAGGCCCCTTCACCTAAAGCGTGAGCTCTGCGTGGTGGGTAAAGGGTTGTTTTCGTGATACACGTAACATGCCTGGACATAAGCGCATGTGTTTTTTATTTACTTGTTAGCATCAGTCTAGAAAGAGTAAAGAATATTCTGGGCGACAAAAGTATTATCCAGAGAGCCTCATTGGACTAGAACTGGACTAAAATTCAGGTTAAAGGGTCTCCGCCTTTAATTCTCTAAAATAATTGCTAAATACACAGCAGGAGAACTGTGACTTAGTGGTTGATTGAGAAGAAGTGGGAAAACTACGGGGCAGAATATGAAGGCTTTGATTAAATGCGCAACTAAAGTGAGCCCGACAGGGATCATCTTACATTAATGCCCTAAGGATATATTAAGAGCTTTCTAAGTTTATGAATTACTGAAGCTTCTCCTACAAGGTCTGCGGAAGCACCAGGTGAGGTGCAGCCATTTTCATAGTTTCCAAGCTTCTTAATTTTGTTGTGTTTGGACAGAAGAGTTCTGGAATGAAAGCAAGGCCTTTGAGGAATTTATAATCAATACAAATCATGGCGCTGGGAGACAGAAAGAGTCGTGAGAGAGGTTGAATGTGAGGAGGACAGAGAGGAAGGAACCGTGTATCTTAGGAAGAAAAGAAACACTCAAAGGATGAATGACTGCTTCTATTTGGTGAGAGGCAGCTTGCTGGGTTAGAAGAGATGGACGGTGTTGTTGGCAGGAGGGAGACATCAGCAAGGACACCTGGGATGCTCATGGGGTATGTAGAGAATCGTGAAATTGCAGAATGTCCTCCAAGAAATTAGTTCAATTTTGAGGACAGACAGAACAACTTGTACTTCTACCAGTAGCAAGAAGACACAAACAATTCACTGATTTGTCAGAATTTTTTTTTCCAAATTTTAGGATTGTTTTTGGAAAATAAGAGATTATCATTCTTTTGCCTGAAAGATAGGCGGTGTCACAGTACTGACCTTGGAATTATCTGTCTCTAATCCCACTGCATCCATATCCTCAACTCTATTCCTATCCAACACTCTCTGACTTTTCCTCTGTATTCTGTATGGAGGAAGACGCTTGAGTGTCCTTACCGGTGACATGTCATAAATACCAGCAACCACCATGGAACAAGAAAGCTATTCAGTTCATGGCTCCCTGATGTTCTGACATGCAGAGAATATGCCCTCTCTCAAGATACAGAAAACCCCACTCAAAGGAAGGGAAGTTTTTGTAATAATTATGGTGGCCCCATAATCTTTTTTTGTGTCTGCCAAAAACTCAAGCCTAATCCATTCACAGTTAACTAGAGAATGGCAGGTAGATGGAAATGAAATCATTTAGCTTTTAGACAAGATTCCCTCTGCAAACGTAGATCCTCAACTCAATGGGCTTCATCCCAGGTCTCCATTGGCAAGCTCCCTGGGGTAATCTCCCAGAACAGCTGGACTGTGATTACACTATCAATGATTAAATGCCCATGTTCACCATAAGGCAGCATTTAATCAAGAGGCATTCCAAAAGTAGGCAATAGAAGGGGGCAGGCAAGGGAGGAGCGTGGGGAGGCAGTTTTCATCCTCACATGAAACTAAAAAGCCTCGTGGTGCACGTGGAATACTTCTGTCCTCCTAGACAGGCTGCAGAGTGCTGACCATGGCCAAGGTAACCAGTTTCTCTTTTATATCAGGAGATAAACCCAGCAGATGGTTTGTACCTGGTGCTTTCATGAGGTGTGCCTGTTTCATTGATATGTACTTCCTAAAGGTCTAAGCCCATAAGCGTTAGAGAAGCTACTCTGGCCCTTTGCTGGAGCATTGAATCACCTTGCCAGAGGGTCTGTCTGCTTACGCAAAGATATAACTTTTCTTTTTTTTAATATTTATTTATTTAGTGTGTGTGTGTGTGTGTGTGTGTGTGTGTGTGTGTGTGTGTGTGTATGCAACCAGCTCAGCCCACCTGGGGGCAGGGCTGGCTGGCATGTGGTGCTGGGGGATCGAACCGCGGTCCCTGTGCTTTGCCAAGCTTGTTCTAAGTAGGTGCTTTAGATCACTGAGCCATCTCTCCAGCCCCCAAGATATAACTTTTCTTATGTCTGTGTTTCTTCAGAATCACTCTAAGGAAACCGTCGCAAAATGAGATTGGTCCTTCTGATAAGTATCTGGGTCTTAGAAAAGTAATGTAGCAAAGTGTGATGCCATGGGTATTGAAGAGAATTCTTGAGAATTATCTTTTGAATGAGGCTATGGCGGTTATCAAGAAGATAATTCCTGAAGGACTTCTCTGTCTTTCCTGGGTGAACACCTCTACAAGGACAACTGTAAGCTACGCTAAGGTCTTCATCCTTTGTTTCCCAAACACCTCTTAATTTATTACTCTGGCAGCTGCACTTGAGTGTAGGGTTTGTTATTTCTCCTTGTCTGAATAACCTGAAGAGTACTTTGCAAGTCCATGTTAACTTGAAATGGATTGAATGTAGAGTTAAACCTGATGTGACACGATAGTTGGCAATTTTCAAATTTTGTAAGACTGAAGGTACTGTTGAAAAGTGATCCTGAGGTGACAATTTTAGAACTGTCTAAATCCTTAGACTTCATACAGAAAGGTAGAGAAGATGTTCTACCTAGAAGTCCATTTCTATTCAAAACCAGATATAAGAATGGTTGGGAAAGGTAACTCAATAACAATGAAAAAAACCAATCGGGTCATCACAACTAAAATGATGAAAACATTCTTTTGGGGAAACAGAGCAACACATGCCTCCAGAATCTGGTCAGTGTAAGATCTTCGCACCTGTGTGTGTGTGTGTGTGTGTGTGTGTGTGTGTGTGTGTGTGTGTGTGTAAAATTGATGAAATTAAATTTCCCAGTGCTTTAAAAAAAAAATCACAATAACAACTTTCTTTCCCAAAGTTATTTTATCCTTCATCTCATGTTTTGGTTTTTTTATATATGACTGTCTTGTGTATTTTTAATGGTCATAAGTAATAGAAAGTTTGTGGTTAAACTGTTTTAGGTTGTGGAAATTCTGAAGGACAAACTCAGTTCTAAATTAAAGCTCTCTGTTAAATGTAGAAACTATTGAGTTAGCGGTGAAGAGGGAGGCAGATTTACGGGCCTGTTCATTTAGCTGTGGTTTTATTTACATCACTTAAGCTAAGCAGATTTAGGTCTGATTAATTCTGATATGAGAGATACTCTGGGAAGCTCAAGGAGGTTTACTTTAAGAAGCATCTGTCGGCAGCTAAGCACAGGCCCCTTTTCTGTTCCAAATGCATTAATGTAACAGCATACATGGCTCCAGAACACAAAGCACAAGGCCTGTTGGAATTATTTTTCTAAATCAAATTAAATCTGGCTCCAAACACCCACTCAACACAGTTGACAGGTTTAATACTGGTCATTGTTTAGGTCACTCTTTAGCTGCAAGTGGCAAAGTAGAGGCTGCAAGCAGAACCACTGGGGCTACAGTTTTCTCTGCTACTGCCCACTGTGTTCCCACTCTGAATGAGCACCACTGTGGCACTGGGTGGGATGCCCCTTCAAGGGCTTCTCCACCCTCCCAGGGTTTGACTATGGGCTGTATCCCAACGGTTCCATGATGCGTGGGGTCCAGATGAGTGTGCGACGGAGTTACCTCCCATTTGAGATCCTGGACCTTGTACACTGCCTCTTTCAGCCCCTATGAGGCCCTCTCCTCTGCAGGGCCTTCCACGGCCCTTTCTCACTTGGCTCGCCACCCTTTGTCCTCCGTCTGCACAGCTCCATCTGCTCCCCTTGGGTGAAGCCATTTGACAGTCGCTTGTAGGACGTGGCCCCCTTTGTTCCTTTCTAAGGAGTCTAGAATGTAGAAAAGGACACCAATAACTCACTGTGCTAAAATAATTAGTTCTGTGAGCTGGCGCTACTGCCTTCCAGTGACTACAAAGCCAAAAGCAATGGTCACTGTGCATGCTCCTGGTTGATCCTCTGAACCCTAAGGACAACAGCCTCCATGGCCTGCTTACGGTCCGACTGACGTTATTGCTCAAATCATCCTCAATTTAACAAGTGTCTGGGTAGTGAGTGTGTAATGTGCCCAACACTGCGCCAGATGCTTTGGGAAGAGAAAAATAAAAGGACAGGTTTGCTAGCTAGGGCAATTGAAGTCTAGAGGAGAGAGAGGTAAAGCAGAGCCACAGATGAACATGAAGAAAGTCCAGGGAGAGGTAAACACCCTTACCCTTCCCAGCCCCACTTCCCATGGGGGGTGCAGGTGAGGGAAACTTCCCAAAGCTCGGGGGCTTAGGTGAGCTGCAAAGGGGAGGGTGCCAGCAGGCAGAGACTGGTCAGCAGCATTGGTTGCAACTTGCTTCACTCTCTCTTGCTGCCTATGGCCACCGCAGCAATGATTCATCACAGCTGCTCAGAACACTTGCTGCCTGTGGGGTCCTTCTGGGGTCTTCCCCAAAGGCATACACCCACATTTTCCCTAGCGTTTGCCAGTCAGAGACCAGCTCACTCTGACTTGCGCAGCCCTCATTATGATGTGTGCCATCTGGTGGGTCACCTTTATCCCTCCTTCCCCGGATTGTGTGTCATGCCCAGAGTGGGGCCCCGTCATTATTCCATCTGTGCCGATCACTCCTGCTTTTCTGTAGGAAACACACAAGGTCCAACTTTAATCGGGCCACTCAGCCTAGCTTCGGGAGGAAACTCTCAGACCTGGTTCTGCCTGCCAGCGCTGAGGGCGAAGGACGCCCTTCCACACCTCCAGGAAGCCTCTGAAGTCAGGCTCTCCAGCCCCCTTCCCACCCTCCTGTGTTTGTGTGTTGCAGATGGAACCCCCGAAGGGCTCCTCTGGCCAGCGGACACTCGTATCTGCCATCCTCAGCGTGCTATCACTCAGCCTCTCCACAACATCCCTGCTCAGCAGCTACTGGTTTGTGGGCACACAGAAGGTGCCCAAGCCCGTGTGCGGAAAAAATCTGGCAACCAAGTGCTTTGACATGCCATTGTCCCTGGAGGGCGGCGTCACCGACACACCAGCCCAGGAGGTGGTGCAATACAGCTGGGAGACTGGGGATGACCGCTTCTCCTTCCTTACCTTCCGAAGTGGCATGTGGCTATCCTGTGAGGAAATCATGGAAGAACCAGGTAGTCTTCTCATGCCACCTACCTGCTCTGGCTTTGGGGTTTTGTTTCTGTTTTTTTTTTTTTTTTTTTTTGTTTTGGGGTTAAGCAGGGATCTTATGCAGGCAGGAAACCAGTTAGGGCACATTGTGCTCATGCAGCAATGGAATGTACCATGCTGCCCCAATCCCAGCTCTAGGGGCATCCTTCTACCCTATTCCTTGCCCAGGACCTTCTGCTCAGAATTGTCCACAGCCCCTTTAACAAGGTGACCATTCCTTTGGCTTTGTCTTCCTCTTTCCTAGACTTTCTGGGTTGTTTGGGAGGCTTTTGTTTTTTTAATTGTCTTTTTGGTTTTGTTGGTGTTGCTTTGTTTTGTTTTTAGTGCAGGGTCTCACTAAATTGCCCTAACTGACCTTGAACTCTCCTGATCCTCTTGCCTTAGCCTGAGGCAGTACCTGGGATTATATGCAGCTGAGATTACAGACGTGCCCCACCACTCCCAGCTCTCCTTGCTCTTTTAAAAGTGTTAGCCTAGAGCTGGAGATGTAGCCCAGAGTCCTGTGCTTGTTTCACATGTATGAAGCCCTGGGTTCAATCCCTGGTACTGCAAGAAAGAAAAAAGCATTACCTTCAATTTAGAACCTTCACCTTTGGGGCATTTTCATTCTATACAGCTAGAACTGCTGCTCTACAATTGCTGCCAGAAGAAAAACCAGGACAGAAGACTAGTGTAGAAAAAGTCCTAGTGCTGCCTTCCTGGGACCTTGCATGAATAACTTCATTTCTATAGGCTTTGGTTTTTCTCATTTGTGAGCTGAAAGGATCAGAGCAGAGCATCTGCAAAGCCTCTTTCTCTCCTTTTAGAAACGTCTTCCCAACCTGAGGGATTATTACAATGTAGAGGGCTAAGGGTGCTGCAGCCTAGGGAAGGGCCTAAGGATTCCTCCAGGAGGTGTAGACAGATCTCCCAGGCCCCCGCCACACCACAGGCCCTGCGCCGGCATCCAAAGATGTATCCCTCAGGTTGGAAGGCATAAAGCTGTGGACTCCTCCTCCTCCTCCTCCTCTTCCTAGCGCACAGCACTTGAAGGTCACCTTGTGGCCTGGGAAGCGTGTGGTGGTGACATTTCTCAAATGCCCAGAATCATGTTCAATTTGAAATCTGCTACTTCCCTTAAACTAGTCTAAGGGGGAAAGGAAGACAGAAGAGGAATAGAAATGCGTGTATGCACCTGCATTTAAGTTTATTACTGCGCAGCTCAGCAGTGCTCCAGCCACAGTCCTGGAAACGTTTAGAGCCATTTTATCCCACAGTCGAGTGGCAGCAAAAGGCATTCAGCAGCAGCAAGGTCAGGCCGTGTGCTCTTTCTGAAAGAAGGTGGGAACAGCAGCTTGGGCCAGCTTTCTCAGCATCTCGGAAAACAACATCTTCTTACCAGAAAAGCAAGAGAGATCCATCCGATGTCTCCTGCCTCTGCCACTCATTAATTCTTTCATTCAAGATTCTCTCCTGCTTTCAAAACAAGACATTTACAGAGTCCTAGAGCAGCCCAGGGATGGGGCTGTCCAAGGAATCACCCCCGTAAAATCCACCCTTCTGCATTTCAGGGGAGAGGTGCCGAAGTTTCCTTGAACTCACACCACCAGCCGAGAGAGGTGAGAAAGGACTACTGGAATTACCCACGTTGCAAGGCCTGTGTCACCCCCCTCTCCGATTTGGAGGGTTGATGGAGCGTGCTTTCCTCCCCCACCTTCCCTCTGGGCTTGTGGCAAGTATGTGTTCAATAACCAATCTAGCTACCGTTGAGCGGGCCTCTCTGAACTGCGCTGTGATCTCTCCTTTCCTCTCCAGAGGCCCAAGGGGTAACAGGAATTCCTCCTAGAGCCAACTGTCATTCACAGGCAGGAATGCAAAACAGGATCAGCAGAGCTAAATACAGTTCACAAAAAGAAAACCACCAAGAGCTTGTGCTGGCGCTCCCTGCCAAGAGACCATGTTGAAAAGCTTTGGCTTCTCCTCCCTTTTTTTTTTTTTTTTTTTTTTTAATGAAAGAAGTGGAGGGAAAAGGGAGGGGAGAAAAAGCGAAAGGACACAAAACTGATTTTCCCAAAATTAAATAAGGAAAATGAAAGACAAAAGTGATAACTAGCAACGCTGTATTCTTTCAGGATTTATGGAAATGTAGGCAACTTTTTTGAAATTGGAAATTTCCCTAAGTGTATTTACCATCCATGTGTACTTGGTTATATGCAGGGTGACATCAAAGAACTCAAAATAGGGCCAGCGAGATAGCTCAGCAGACCAAGCTCCTGCCTAGGCAAGTGCAGGGACTGAGGTTCAATCCCAGGCACCACATGCTTTGGTGGCCCCACCTGCGGGTATGCTGAGCCAGCCATGGAGACCAGGTGTGGTGGCACACCCCTATAATCCCAGCACTGATGAAGCTGAAACAGGAGGACCACTGCAAGTCTGAGATGCGTAGTGAGACCCTGTACCAAATACATTTATAAAAATAAAAAAAAAAAAAAAAACTTCGAAATAGAGTCAGTCCTTCACCTTTCTTAATCTCCTCTTCTCCCAGACCTCTGGGCTTCTGACTTCGAGGGGGGCTGGCTGCCTCAGTTGACCATTGGTCCCGTTTCATAACTGTTGTCATGGGGTTCTCTCCCTGTGGCTTCCAACAGAGATCCTCTGGTTATCGCTGGCCGCCCAGATCACCTATATTGGGCTGCAGTTCATCAGCTTTCTCCTGCTACTGACGGACTTGCTGCTCACGGGGAACCCAGGCTGCGGGCTCAAGCTGAGCGCCTTTGCTGCCATTTCCTCTGTGCTATCAGGTACGTGACATCCAAACAGGAGGGGCACTGGCTGGAGAGAGTGGGTCTTTGTCCTTGAGGACAGAAAGGAGGAGCCTAACACTGGATGGAGGGGACACATTGCAGGTACGCCTTTTTTATCAGTGTATATGGACTCCACAGTGCCTCCCCCACCCTGCCCGCCGAGTAGCCCCCAGACCCAGTCCTAGCCCAGGTCCGGAATTTCTGCCGAGTTCCGGGAACGCCCAGACCCAGTCCTAGCCCAGGTCCGGAATTTCTGCCGAGTTCCGGGAACGCCCAGACCCAGTCCTAGCCCTGGTCTGCAGTGGGAAGGAGCTGAGCACAGCAGCCAGACCTAAGCCAGATGCAGCTGGATAAGTCCAAACTCTGTAGAGCTCCACCTTAACTTCAGTACGTGTGAAGGTTATAACTACAGCAAAGATCTACAACAAAGGACAGAGGACAGTGCTACACAAAATGACGAGAAGGAACAAAATGCAACCTCAGAACCCAAGCCCACCCGTAACAAGTGCAGAGGACACTAACACAGTAATGCATGATAAATAGACTCACTGTGGGGATTTGGTACGTAGACATATCATACCTTGATGGGGCAGCTTTCACTTTATTGAAATGACATGTGAAGTGGTCTATTGGATCATTGTGCTCTTTACACAATGATCTACCTCTAGGTGCTTTCTTTGCAAGCTTTCCCGATATAGAAAACCTCCTGCTGGTCTCAGCCACAGAGCTTTTCAGGACAGTGTGGGATGAAGTGAAAGATGCACGAGTGAGGGGAAGAAGAGTGCGAGGGAAGGCAAAGGGGACAGTGGCCTGGTGCGGCACTCAGAGGCTTTGTCCCTAGCTCTTCCAGGAAGCTCTGCATGACTGCTGCAAAGATAACACACTCAAGGCATTCCCAGAACAGAGAGCAGTCTCCCAGGAACTGGAGGGAAGGCTACAGGAGGCCCGATACAGGCTACCATGAGGCAGTGGCTCCAAAATCAGATTTCAGTGAATGACAGGGGCAGGCTTTCCCTAATGCTGTGCCTTCCTGTTCCCTCCGAAGGCCTCCTGGGGATGGTGGCCCACATGATGTATTCGCAAGTCTTCCAGGCCACTGCTAACATGGGCCCGGAAGACTGGAGACCGCATGCCTGGAATTATGGCTGGGCCTTCTAGTAAGTGAGCACCACTCCTCGAACCTTTCACCCACTTCCTGGCCAACTCTCCTGAGATTTTCTACTCTCAGCTCCATGTTCATTTTCCTGTTCCTCTGCATTCTCTTCTTTCTTCGTTCTAAAAGTCTGTCATCAAGGCATCCCTTCTCTCCTGTGGTGAAAGAGGTACAGAGCATGGCTCTGACGTGAGACGGCTTAGCCTTGGCTTGCCCTCTTTCCACCCTTCCTTGTCTTGTTTTTTCTTTTTTTGTTTTGGTTTTTGTTGTTGCTGTCATTTTGTTTTGGAGGTAGGGGTTTGGTTTGTTTTTTTGGTTTGGTTTAGCCTTAATGTTTTGGTTTTTGTTTGGGGTTTGTTTGTTTTCTGAGACAAGGTTTCACTGTATATTTCAGGCTGAACTTGAACTTGCTTATATAGCCCAGGCTGGCCTCAAATTCATGATGATCCTCCTGTCTCAGCCTCCCAAGTGCTAGGAGTACAGACCATCACACCTGTCACCTAGGTGGTTTGGTGGGTTTTTTTATTTTTTGTTTTTTGTTTTTTTGTTTTTTTGAGGGGAAGGGTCTGTCTTTCTTTCTCTTTGCAATATTGGTGATTGAACTCAGGGTCTTCCCACTGAGTTACATTCCAGCCTTTTTTTTTTTTTTTTTTTTTTTTTGTACTGGGAACAGAATTCAAGACCTTGTGCTTTCCAGGTCCTATACTTCTGAACTATATCCCTGCCATCTATTTTTAATTTTTTGAGACAGGATCTTATAAAGTAGCTAAGTCATGCAGGATATGTTCAAATTTGTGATCCTTCTGTCTCAGCCTTCCAGATGGTCCAGTTTCTCTGCTTACCAGCAACAGCCATTGCTTCCTCACCTGATGTGTACAGTGTCCTTTAGAAATAAGACAGATTTCTTCTGGCTTATAGAAATTAGATAGATAGATAGATAGATAGATAGATAGATAGATAGATAGATAGATTCCAAGGTATTAAAGAAATGAACAATTAGCCTTGAAAATTGGGTTGAATTTCAATCCACTTGAGTTGATGATCAATGAATTTTCTTCCACCCATTATAAACTTTCTTATAAACCCCAAAAGTAACTATTACTTCCTATTTTATTCTGCTTCTATCCAATTGTATTAGATATAAGCTTCCCTACCCACAGGGATTTTCCAGTCTTGAAAGAACTAAGGGGTCAGTCATTTTTAATTTCTCTTAAAAAGAAAAAAGCAGGAACCATGACAAAACACACATAGTCAACCCAACATTGGCTTTAAAAGCTCCCCTACCTTCTCCTTTGAGGAGCCCTCTATACTCACTGAGAAGATGCCAACTTGGTCCCACTAACTGCCCAAGGCACACACTAAGTGTGTTGACAGCACACAGAAGAATGCTAGGCTCAAATCTGCATTGGACGAAGGCCTCCTGCACACGGACCTGTGCCTGATTTGAGCCCTCTCCTCATGGTGTCATGTGTACCCTGTGGTGCAGGAGTCTTTGTTCTACTCCACCGCCTCTACATCAGCTTAGCATTTCCCCAACCCACCACCTTTCACCTCTTCTATCTTGGAGAGCTTGGGCTAAAAGACACCTACCACAAAGTCACCCAGCCTGAAGCTACTTCATTCTTTAGAGGCAGCAGATGGGAACATCCAGTACCAGCAGCGGCCTGGCTTTAACCATCCCTTGGCCCCATGACAGCTGTGCTAACCTCAGACAACTTCCTGCTCCCTGAGCTTCCCAGAATCACAGGGAGATTTAGGGGTTTTGTGTTCCAAGTTTTTAGGAATGTGTTTGATATGGTTCCCCAGTGTGTCTTTGTCATTCTTGATTCTATCCAGCTTCTCTGAACCTCCAGCTTCTCTTGGAGCATCCATTATAAACTATTTCAAGCCAAGAACCACACTGTTTTCAGAATAAGCAAATAATTCCCTTAGATTTGTACTCAAGTTTTCATGAAAGATTCTCAAAGGCCCAACTTTGTGGATCCTAAGATTGCTCAGTTCAAAACAAAGGAGGATTAAAGGCGGGGGTCTTCTAGTATCTGAGTGAAGAGTAGGACAAGAAAGAGAGAAGAGGAGGATCATGGAGAAATTGTGCAGGTCTGTGGAATCATGGAGATTTCACAAGGGTAACTGCAGTAGTGGAAAAAAGTAGTACGTGCACATACTGTCTCAGTTACTTTTCTCTCATTGCTGGGACAAAATACCCAACACCCAAAACTGAGGAAGGAAAGATTTGCTTAGCTCACAGTTTGTGGAGGTTTCAGCCCATTCCCAGCTGGCTCCAAAGCAGGATGGCACATGGCAGAGGGCAGCAAAACAGCAAGAACAAAAAGGGAGCAGCAGCCACAGCAGCAGCAGAGGGCAAGCCTCTCTCCCTTATATTTCAGGTCGGGTGTAGCACTCACAGCCAGTATCACAGCAGCATTCACACCCATAATCCCAGCACTGAATCATTAATTCATCATAAACTATAGAAGCCTGCCTCAGTGACTACATGAGGCTTTGTGGAGGGGACAACTAGACACAAGCCGTAACACATACAAAACAGGCACACCACAAGTCCACTGAATTCCTTGTATAATTTTTGTTCATTGTGGTTCGTTGTTCTCATTATCCTCCTCCTCCTCCTTCCTCTTTCACCGCCCCACCCCCACCTCTGTGTGCTAAATATGGAACCCAGGGCTTTGCATATGCTAGGCAAATGCTCCACCACTGAGCTACAGCTACAGCTGAATTTATTTTTTCTTTGCCAGTACTGGTGATTGAACCCAGAGCCACATGCATGCCAGACAAGCGCCCTAGCCCTGAACTACATACTAAGGCATACCAGTTCAACTGAAAAATGGTAGAAGGCACTCTCAAGCCCCCAAATCCCCAAAGGGTATCATTTTAGTGGGAAGGGGTAATGGCATTTTTCTTTCAAGAAAGTCATACTTTTTTCTGTCCCTTTTTTGTGTCTGCCCCTAGCGTGGCCTGGGTTTCCTTCACCTGCTGCATGGCATCAGCTGTCACTACCTTCAATACATACACCAGGATGCTGCTGGAGTTCAAGAGCAGGCACAGTAAGAGCTTCAAAGAAAACCCAAGTTGCCTACCCAATCACCACCGCTGTTTCCTCCAGCAGCTGTCATGTGCAGCCCACCCAGGGGCTCCTCTGACCAGCTACCACCAGTACCACAATCAGCCCATCCATTCAGTCTCGGAAGGGGTTGACTTCTACTCCACGCTCCAAGACAAGGCATTTCAGCAAGGGCCTGGCCCTGAGCTGAAGGAAGGGACTGAGTCACCTGTAAAGGAAGAGCAGTGCTAGGCATTAAGTGGGCTTAGGGAGCAGGCTGAGCCCTACCTTATGTGGTTACTTGTTATCAACATCTGCTTAAGCCAAGTCTGTCTCCTGAGCCTGGTTTTTAGAAGCTAAGAACAAGGGTATCAGGCATCGCCACCACCCGTTCTCCTTCCGAGCTGTCTCACTGTATCTGTCCCCCGTGTCTCCTACATCCAGCATTCTCATCTTTCACTGATTGCTTCTGTACCAGGCTCTAGACTAAACAACGGAGATAAAAGGAGGACTGAAATACAGTTCCTGTCCCTAGGGGTCTTAGAAATAATCTGGTAATTGGATATGCTCCCTGGAAATTAGAAAAATGGCGGTAAGCAAATTAGTAATAGTTTGACTGGGGCTCAACAGTCCCTGGCACACTGGCGTCCTTCTGGAAGTCACAGCTGGGAAGATGGAAGCACCACTGAGGGCTTTGGTAGGAAGGACAGGTGTCCCCCACACTGCCTGCCACAGTGTCCTGCATCCACACCATGATGAAAATGCTGGTATTATCCCAAAAAGCACTAGGAAGGTTGTATGGTACAGAAAGGCTCCTACAGCCCACAAGGTTAGGTTCACTTCCAGAGTGGCCTACAAAGGCCATTCAGATGGAACCGTGGTGCTCAGAATCATCCTGGCCAGGGCAGAGGCTGCTCTCCAGATGCCACCTGTTCTCCCTTCGGAGAACCTTGCCCTCCTTTTCCCTCTACAAAGAATCCCATCCACCCAGCCATCCTTTCTTTTTTTTACCCTAAGAGGAAGCAAACCAACCTTGACAGCAAGAAGAACGAGAATGACACACAAGTACATTCCGGTACACGGTATTTATTTGCTCTGTCACAGTTCACATTTTAAGTAGTGCTTCTGGACAACAGACCAGCTGGCTCTCCTTTCATGTGGGCAATAAGGACAGCAATTCACATTCATGAGGTTAGTTGGTAGGACCATGCCACACATTTGGGGGATGGTGAGGACACTGCCTAGCACAGAGCGGAGGGCTTGCAAGGAAGGAAAGGGAGTGGTTGCGAAGAGAAAGCCCTTGCATTTCTAGAAGTCCTCACTGCTGCTAAGCAGTGGTCCAGCTAGCCTTGCTGGAAAGCCTGAGTTTGGGCTAGGAAAAGAAAGCAGTGCTTCTTGTCTTAGCTATCTGCGCTGGGAAGCTTCTGGCAAGGAGAGGGTTGTTTCTGAGCACATCTGACAAGAGACCAGCATCTACGTTAGCCAAATGATGCTTCCTTGGCCTTCAGCATCACGTAGAGCCATCTGCACTAGCTGCAAGAGGAAGTAAACTCAGAGCTTGCATTGTGCTTAGCAAGGAGGGAGTCAAACTTGCAGTACAGAGTTTTTAAGAGGCAGATTTCAGTTACTCTATTTTCTAGATTCCTCTTATCTGTGTCTGAGACTTAACCTACACACATAGCTCTCTATCCAAATTCCACCCAGATTTTCAATAAACAATTTTGTCTTTTCTTCCTGTCTATGCTAGCTGGCTTCTCAAAAAGCTTCAAAATGGTAGAGGACAGGGTATACCTAGATGGCTCAGCCATGCCATAGGACCACTACAGTTTGGGGGCTTTGGTCCACTATATACATTGGTTCTGAAACCTATATCCTAGGCCAGTGGTGGCAAACCCATGCCATCATTGTAGGCTGTTATTACTGAAAGCTCTGAAAGGTTTACCAGACCCTGCTACCCAAATAGATTCAAATGCCTGGTAAGGAATCAGAAGTGAAGATTCCCATATTTGGGAGTATCCTCTTAACAGTTCTGGTAAATTCAAGCTGGACCCACCCACAACTCCTATGTGTTGAAAGTAAATATGTTTTTATGGTAGAGGTACCCAGAAATGGGTAACGCCAATCCACAGGTCAGATAATCTGCAGGCCAAACAATACACCTGCTTGGATCTATTTGTACCAATTCCCTGTAAACACTTACCAGTGGACAGTTAATAGATATCCCTGGAAATCTGGAATCCATCATTTTATGGACTCTATTTGATACAAGATAAAAAACCTAGCCTAAGAAAGAAAACCAGATTTTCACTCAGGGGCAATCTATCAAAATTACTCAAGTAAAGCAGGGTTTTTTCCCATCAGGGTTTTTTCCTACCACTGGATTTTCTGCTATATAGACAATGACCTAGAAGTAATAAATTATATAGAAGAATGGAGAAAGTTAAGTGCTGGAAATAACTCTAAAGAACTTAATCACTTATAAAATTTATGGTATTTACATAAGAATTTTCTCAAAATACAAGGCTCCCAAGGCTCTAGTAGGGAAGGTACACGGCAAAATGATTGCATACTGGACTCAAGTAACAAAATAGTCCAGAAATATATCCCTGAAGAAAGAAGAAAGGAAGGGGAGGGAGGCAAGGAGGATGCTGGGAGGAGATGCAGAGGAAGAAGGACATGGGTTCCCTGGGCCCCAACTCCCAGCCCTCTGAGGCGCAGACCAACCCTGCACCCTCTGCCACCACTGCACAAACAAAGGTCATGACTGGCAGAGCCAACAGAAATGTATACCACCCACGGACCTGCTTAGATCACTGAAACTTTCTCTTGCTCCCCTTGTGATAGGAACATGACTATTCTCATGGCCACTTAAGGATGGAAAGTCTAGGGGAAAGAAGAGATGAAAACGCTGGATGGATACCTCTGTCCTCTGCCGACAGAGTCTCTCACTGCTCTCTCCAGCTCAGACACAGCCAGGGCACAGGGGAGAGAGCAGTGACCCTCCAAGGCAGGACGTGAGAGGACCAAACCACAGGTCTTTGCAGAGGACAAGAAATGAGATCCCTGAAGCTTAGGGCAGGTCTGAAAATAATCTCACCACAACACTGAAAAATATATACACATGGCACAATGCAAAATAAAATGTCCTAGTGATACAGTTTATAAATTAGATGTAAAAAAAAATAATAATAACCTAGACGATTCACATTTCCAAACTATCCACACAGAGATCCTAGAGGGGGTTAACACGAGAACGGAACGGTGGTGCGATGTCCCAGCCGAGCCGGTCATGCGGTATCGCAGCTCCAGCAGCTTTCCAGAGTGCAAAGGTCAACTACGTGGAAGGGCTTAGATGAGGCCAAAGCTTTCCCCTTGCCAAAGAATTGCTTTTACACTGGCAGCAGAGAGAAGGGACTCACGCTTGTTTACTTCTTGTGAAACGAAGGTTCTAGTAGACTAGATCTGTGGGAAGAGGGAGAAGTGTCAGCGACACTGTATTTTTTCACGTTAGAAATTTTCAAAGAAATGAGGGAAATCTAACCGTCAGACTGCTCCATTTCCCTGACTTCTCGATTAGTCCCCACAGTTCACCCTTGCTCCCTCTAGTGAGGCCTGCAGACTCTGTCCCCTATTCATAATAAGCTCTTGACCTTTCAGCTAGACCTGAGTGTTTCAGGGAAGGGCAGGCAGGAAACAGACATTAGCACTTTCAGCAAGGTCGTTTTTTGCAGTATGCAACTACTGTGAGCCCTTTCTAGGCCCTACCCAGAAAATGCGAGAAGGTTCCACACCACCCCCATCACTGGACAATAAAACCTGTGGGAAAAGTGAAAGGTGTCAGCGACTCTATTTTTTCATCTTAGAACTCCACTAAGGGTGACAGAGCCATTTCCAGCTGAAAACAATTAACTGAGAACCCTTGGGAAACAGTACTGGTCCAACATGACTGGTTCTTGATACTTGTCTATGCAGAAGTGCTCCCCACACTCCCAGAGATCAAAGCTGAAGTCTGCAGTATTTGTTCCAATCCCTCAAGAGTAACCACACATCTCAGAATGTATCCACCTGGGAGGGAGAATCAATAAACTTTATCCTAGAGAGGAATCTTCGCAGCTCTCCCCTGCCGATTTTGGGGGTGGTCTCCTTCAGCTGGACCATCTGGCTCTCCATCAATGCCCACCGAAGGCTCAGCTTGCTGACTACCACAGGTGCAGGATGCCCTTCAGAGCTTGGCCCTGTTGTCCTGGTGACATAAAAGGCATCTTTCCAGAGGTCATTGATTCCAACTGAGGAGGAACAAAGAGGAAAGCCGTTAACAAGGACAGACAGCGTCTACTAGCAGGAGAGAGATTCTGTTCAACATTCACTTTCATTCACCTATTAATTCATACAGGAACTGTACCAAGGGCTGGCCAGAGAGCTCAGCAGACTAAAGCACCTGCTTAGGAAGGCACTGGGACTGGGGATCAATCACTGGCATGCTGTGCTGGCCCCGCCCCAAGGGCACACTGAGATGGCAACTGAAACTGCACCTGTAATCCTAGCTCTTGGGAGGCTGAAAGCAGGAGGATCACTGTAAGTCTGATCTGTATAGTGAGACCCTGTAGACCCTGTACTAAATACATTTTTAAAAAGGGACTGTACTGAGCCCCTTGGGTGCAGAGCTGAGATTCTGCATGATGGCAGCCTTGCCTTTCCTACATCTCTGAAGCTATCTCTGAGAAAGCCCCAGACCAGCAAATGGGAGAACATGCCCACTCTGGCACATGCTCAGTAGAAAAATGAGCCAAAGAGACTAGGAAGCCCAAGGTCCTGGATTGCCAGTACACGGTCACATAAGCTCTCTCCTCACCAGTGTTGGCTTTTTAATTTTTATTTTCAGTAGCATCTCACTAAGTCAACAGGTTGTGCAGGCTGGGTTTGAACTTGCAATCCTCCTGACTCAGCTTCTTAGAAGGTGCAAGTATGTGCATGTCAACTTCTGCTTCCTCTTTACAATAATGGTTATAATAAAAATGGTCTCTTGTTATTTAATATTATTCTGTATTCCCTGAAATATTTTGCTATGCTAACATTGGAAAAGTCGCTCACTGGGATCCCTTAGAGGACTCCGCACACCGACGTCTCCTGACACACGCAGCCTGTGCGCAGCAGGCCTGGGTGCTCCAGGTCAGCCATTTCTCCCACTGTTTCACCCAGAGGCGAGGGAGCGTGGAGGTGGTGAGGGAGTGAAGGCCATAAAGGGGCCATGGCCAGACCCAGCTTCCCCTTCCCTTCCAGTAACAGGGACAGCAGCAGCCACCCCAAGGCCACTTCTGTGAGGAGGAGACCAACAGACAACCCAGAGAAGCAGGCAGCAGTGGCTGAGTTGCAGGCCCTCGGATTCCTAAATCAAGGGTCTCTAATACAGGGCCCCAACTTTCTTCACAGTCTTATTTAGATAACTACATACAGTAGAACAACACTTCCAAATACAGCGATGAATGATCAGCTTATGGGCACCGTTTCCATCTTCCGCAAATTTTTCTCTTGACTCCAATAGATATATAATGACTCCAATTTGTATGCATTGTGCATGTTTACTATTCAAAAAGCTCCACTATGCCAATGCCCTAAAAAACTATTCTACCTCCATCATGTCCCTCAGTTCCATATTGTACACCCCTGAAAGGAAAAAGAAAAGGAAAAAAACTCCAGTCCTACATGTCCTCTTAGCCCCTGGCATGGACCCAGCGTAGAGCCGAGGCTCAGTAAATGTCTGCCACTTGGAGGGACTTGCAATGTGGTTGGGGCCGTTTAGAAGGTCCTGGCTACATCCCCTGGCTCCAGGGACACAGAGAAGATGCTGCTGCTGTCACTAAACACAGTCGTTCCCTTAGTGGGGCAGGGATCCCTCCTCCCTACACTGCCAGCACACATTCCCCCCGTCCGTGTATGTGCACCCCCACCACAGGGACTCACCCTTTGAGGCTGTCACTGTGCCTGTGGCATTGGACAGGTCCAGCAGGATGGAGGGGAAGGTTGGGTGCAGGAGGTAAAGGTGGTAAAGGCGGGGTCCATCAGCTCCTAGGATGCCATCCTGACAAGAAGCGACAAAAGGGAAGAGCAAAGGTAACTCTGTATTCCCACACCAGTGACCAGAGAAACGGGCAGAGAAAAAGTGGTGATTACTCATTCCTCTCAGGTACTGAATTCTGCTTCCCAATTGCAAGGATGTGTTGGAAAGAAACCCCCGTATACAAGAGACATGTTATTTCGAAGAGCTCAAAACACTGACTCATCACTTCACTTCTTCAAGTCACTATTTATAGCTAGAAATGCTCTCTTACAAGAGAAAAAACAAAAAAAGGAAATGTGCACGCCCCAAGGGGAACACGCTGTGGAGAATAACCCTTCTTCTGCCCGCAGGAGAACTAGGTTACTGATTTATTCCTGGCAGCAGGTGGGCTTTGTGGAGAGAAAAATCTACTTCGGAAAACACAGTGTGAGCCAAAGATCTTTCATTTCGCTGGATATCAAAGCCAACTGCAAGAAACAGGTTAAAAGTTACAAAAATCTTAACAGTTCCTGAAATAAGCAGATGATTGATCAGACACAAGCAAATCATCAATTATAAATCCAAACTCCCAAGGCCTAAGCATCAGGTCTCCAAGGGGCCACCGTCATCAGCGTGACCCCTGGGGGGAAGCACGGGTGGTAGCGTCACACATGTGCAGCCGTGCTGCTACAAAGGCCCGGGAAGGAGAAGCTGGCTTGAGGAGGAGCAGCATGGGCAGGAGCCTGAACCCTCACCCCCACTGCAAAGCAGCAGAGTGCGTCTGCACATGCCCAGGTACGAGGGACGGGCCGCCAACCCACTAATGTGGCCAGAAAACAGCCACTTGCCTTGTTCACTGCCTGCAGAATGAAGCTCAAAATCCACAGCATGAAAACCACAGTTTTACAATATTGAACCGAAATCTGCCTTTCCCAGACTTCCACTGCAATGATTTACGGGCCAGCCGCGCTTCCAGGATGTCTGATGACCGCCCTCCCGGCACGCTCCCCTCTGCTGCGCGAGCTGCCCGCTGCCAAGCTGCCAATTCCTTTTCCCCCTCGGACTGACTAGCCACACTCTCACTTCCACATAGCAAAACGCTGCCCAACCCCAGATCCCAACGTGAATGCCACTTAGTCACGAAAGGCCCCCCAGTCGCCCCAAGCAGAAGCAGTGTCTCGCTGCTGCCTACCTGTACCTCTAGGAGCGCATTTGTAACGTGCCCTCGTTGTGCTGTTATTTATGGAAGCTCACAGTGGAGCACCATCTGGTCTAATCCCCTCATTTTATTATTTGAGGAAACCAAGAAATTAAAATGTTAAGCAAACACAGCCACATGTTAGGGCATGGCAGAGCTACAGCTATAATCTAGGATTTAGGTAAATTTGATTCTCAAAATAAGGGGCTAGATTAGCGCCTTCATTAATGGATTAAGGACACGCGGCTCAGAAATGTTAAATAACTTGTTAGGAGAACACACAGTGATGAATTCAGGACTCAGCAGACATCAGGCTCCCCAGCCCTGGGCCATCTGCCATCTCCAGAGGCTTATCCTTAGATGCCCATGAACAGCTCCGGGCCCGGCACACAGTGGGTACTAGGTCAGGATGTGCTGCACGGGCTATGCTTAGACTCCAAGGCACTCCTCCTGGGTGGTCCTACCAAAATGCTACAGTGCAATATGCAACACATCTTAAAGTCTGCCTTCTAGGTGTCCAAACTTCTCACCCACAACTCCCCCAACTGATGGCTCGGCTGAGCCCAATCTATACTCCTCCACAACAGCCCTGCCTCCCACCTCATGCCCACCCTGCAGCCTCTTCTTTCACCCACAGCTCTATCCCCACAAGAGACTTCGTCTGCCCGCTCTGGACCAATCACATTGATTCCTCCTCCTCAACAACTGCAGCTTGTAGGAGTGATCTGTGAATCTGGATCTCGTCTCTTGAGAGGACTCTCTATTCTTTATCCAGCCTCCCACTGTCACTGGTCAGTACTCAAGAAGCTCTGGTCAGGGTTTATGCTCTTGGCAGAAAGGCAAAGCTGGGAAGTGTGGCTCCTGCTTTTCTCATGGGAATGCTAATCTGCTTCCACCCTAACCCTTAGAAGACAGCTAATCACATAACATCTGGAGACCCCAGTAAGCCCCGAGAACCCCTGGCATGGACAAAGTAAAAGAGGGACCTCCCGGGCTCACTCACAGCATTGGGTGGCACAGCTGACAGTCCTTCTGCCCAGAAGAGGAAGACAGACTTCCGGTCTGAGGTCACTGCTGAGGTGGTCGGGGTTTCTTTCATGTGACATGGAGCACTATAACTCCAAATGATAGAGCCAGAGTCACCATCAACCACCATCATCTGCAAGAGAAGACAGTGAATGTGGCTGGAGAGGGCTCAAGGATGAGAAGGGAGACAGCTGCAGATATTCAGATAAATGCACATACAGTGCTCCCGGGTATCCATGGGGGAGCTGGCCACGGACGCCCACATCAGTGGGTACTCACATCCCTTCTATATGGTATCTGCATATAACCTATGCAATACATAGGCTAGACACACTATGTATTACAACAAATACTGCGAAATTCATATTACTTTGTTAAGTGAAATTCCATATCACTTGTAATATTTTGTTTTAATTCTAATTTGTACTCTCCTTAAAAACTAAAAAAAAAACTACGCACAGCCTCCTGTACACATAAATCACCTAATATACAATATAATATAATATAATATAATATAATATAATATAATATAATATAATATAATATAATTTCCATGTAAATAATTGTTACTCGTATTGGTTAAAGAATAGTGACCAAAAAAGTATTAGGTGCAAATACTATCATGAATTTTCATTTTACCCATTCAGCTAGACTTTGAGCTTTTTGAAAAAAGAGATCATGTTTTAGGTTCATTTTCATCTACACACGGCTGCACAATGAGCCAGGCACAGAGTACTTTATATATGCTTTGATTTGTGTCCCAGAGTTTTTTACCTTTTTCATCCCAACAACTTCCTGTGTCTGCAGAAGGAAGTCTAATGTCTGATCATCAGTGAAATACCCAGGAGTAGGCTGGCTGCAAGAAAGGACAAAGAAGCAACCAATAGTGAGGAAGGAAGATGAGGAACTCCTACCCTCCCTCCTTTTGTACCAGATAGCAAGCAATTATTTACATAATTTTTAAACACAGGGAAATGAACTGAAACAGCAACCACCAACCTGCGCAGGCCTGGGAGGCTCAATGTCCAGTAAGGTGTAAGGTTTTGTCCTCGAAGCAGAATCAGGCTCTGTCTGGTCGTAACCAGGAGGTTGCTGCAGTTGGAATCAGGCATCTTCACTACCTGGAGTAGCTCAACACCATCGCTGAGTTAAACAGACCCCGAGCATTAGTTTCTAGCATAGATGCTTCAGAATCCTTGTATTCTGGCCCTTTCTCTCACCATACATACATCTCCCTGTATTCTGGTCCTTCAGTGCCCATGGGGGATTGGATCCAGGACCCTCTGTAGATAATACTCAAATCCACAGGTATTCGCATCCCTTACACACAAATACTTTAAATAATCCCTGGATTATTTACAATACCTAGTGCCATGAATGATTGCTACGCTCTACTGATTAGGGAACAATGACAAGGGGAAAAGCCTGTGCATGTTTGGTGCAGATTACATTTCTAATTTAAAACTAGTTGAATCCACAAATCTAGAGTGCACAGACACTCAGAGCCAACTGTCACCTCGTACCCACTCCCAACCTTGTCTTATCAAGTAGACCCTCTGCTGGCTGCTCCTATTCAATCTCTTCTTTAGTCTCAGAACACCAGGGCCCCTGGGCAATGCAACGCAAGTTCAAAAAGAACACACAAGAAGCACATTACAGCCCAATGCCTCTCACTGAATACGCAGTGAAAAGTAACACAGCCAAGGACAATGGCATGGAAAACAGACAGAGACTGGGAGAGGAGGCCGAATATCGTCAATAAGCTTGGACAGCAACTGCTGGCACACTTTTGTTTCTTCCTTTAATCATTGAGACTAGCTGATTTAATACCTGTCCAATTCACTGCAGCAACATGATAAGGCCTAAGAAAATGCTGAAAAAAAAAAAAAAAAAGATTTGAAAGTTTTGGTAGAAAACAACAAAATCAGGCTGGGGAGATAGCTCAGGGGCATAAGTGCCTGCCTGCCAAGCGCAAGGACCCAAGCTCCGTCCCCAGTACTGCATACATCGCTGGCCCCTAAACCCTGGGTGCACTGTGTGACCCTGGAACCGATCATGGTGGCACACGTAATCCCAGCACTAGGAGGCTGAGACAGGAGGATCATTATGAGTCCTAACTGCATAGCGAGACCCTGTATCTAGAAAGAAAGGAACAAGGAAGGAAGGAAGGAAGGAAGGAAGGAAGGAAGGAAGGAAGGAAGGAAGGAAGGAAGGAAGGCAGGCAGGCAGGCAGGCAGGCAGGCAGGCAGGCAGGCAGGCAGGCAGGCAGGCAGGCAGACCCAAACTTGGTTAAACGGGTAAAAATGGGCTGCACACAACTTGACTATGCTTTTAGCCAATAAATAAATAAGAATTAGGTTACCAGATATAAACATGCAGAATTGGCTAAAAGCAAAACAACAATAAAAAAGATACAAGAAATTAAAAAGAAAAAAATAATAAAAAGGAAAAAAATTTAAGCATTAATTGTTCCTTTCAAAAGACCAGCAGAAATTGACAGTACAATTATCCAAACTATCCTGCATATATACGTAAATATATCTTCTTCCTTTATTTCTTTTGTCCTTTTCCTCATCCTAGTTTTTCCTTCCCATTGAAGCGACTAATTTGAAGATAACATCATACAGTATAGCAACCACTGTTGAATTCCTATCACTTTGTTTAATGCAATTTTGAATCAGTTCTAATGTGTTTGTTTGTTTGCTTTTTTTTTTTTTTTTTTTTTTTGCATATCAGGGATTGAACACAGGACCCTGTACTTGCCAGATTTGCCAGGTTTGTACTGAGCTATCTCCCTGACCCAATTTTTTTTTAAAGAGAATAAAAGAAATAATAAAAACGATACAGAATTTCAAAACAAGTTGATGGAAAATTAACAGTGGTTATTATATTGCATAGTTGTATCTTCAAAGTGGCCATTCAGATAACCAGATATAAGCATGTAAGGCTGATCAAGCAATATAAACACTAACTGTTCCTTTCAATGAACTAATG